TAGATTGTTTTTTTTTTTTTTTTTTTTTTTTTTTTTTTTTTTTTTTAAATGAAGCCCATCCTGAACTTAACAAGGGAAATTACAAGAGGTGTGATACTTTGGGAGTCCTCCACCCCAGTAGCCTCAAAGGTCCCCTTTTTCCTTCCTCCTCCTGATGAGGCCTCTATGGCAACTCACCTCAGCCTGGAACCCTTCCACAAGAATGGCCACCAGCAGATTGAAGAGCACATAATTGCCAAACGTCATGAGAGCCACAAAGTAGAGGGATGCCCATGGCGAGGTAGAGGCCATGCCATTATAGAGCACAACATTCCAGTCCTCCTGAGTTAGGATCTGCAATCAGAGCAGAAGCCACATAAACATGAAGGAAGAACACAAAAGGGATTCTCAGAAAAGGACAGTGAAAGGATACAGATCAGAACAACTCCAGGCCTCTTAACTTCCTCATAACCACACACTCACTGCCCTCTGTCACTGTCCAGCTGTGGTACTGCCCTGATAATGTTAGCTGAGCAAGAAGAAACAAGAGCAAACACGAGGGCAGTCATGTGCTGAGGTGATGGTGTTAAACATGGGAGTTGTCACAACAGGACAGACCTTTGCAAACTGTCTCCTAGGAAGGAAGGATCTCCCCTGTCTGAGAGACACACCGGTTGTTTGGTTACAACATGCAATTGTTTTTCCTCCAAACATCACATGCCAGAGCCTCTTGCACAGCCTTTTGTGCTGTCAGGAGCGAGTGCAATGCTCCACAATGAAAAAAAGCACGACCTGACCCTCTTCATTTTGCCCTAGCTCACTCGTAGAGAGCAAAGTGGGCTTACCTGGAAGACGGTGACGATGGCCCACAGCAGAGAGTCAAAATTTTTCCGGTCAGGAACTGTGTCTCCTGTGTCTGTCCTGAGGCTGAACTTGCAACCGAATATGTGCATTCCCAGGATGCTGTTGGGACAAGAAGTGATATATAAAATAATAATATAAATATCTCTGCCACCACAATGAGCTCATCAGAGTAATTCTCTTTTCCTCCTGAAAATCTAACGTAACACCACAGGAGCGAGGGGTAGAACAACAGCCAGACCACTGAGACCTATCCATGAAGAAGGAGCTGTGTATTGCACCCCTATAGATCACCAAAACCCCTTGCTTTCCATCTGTACTGCCTCAGAGCTCACGTATTCCCTCCAACCTGTCCTTCAGATCTGCTCTCTCCATCACTCTTGTTTCCTTTCATTTTTTTCCATCTTCCTACCACTGCATCCAAGGGATGCACTGACAAACTTTCTTGGTTGCTTCCTGCCTCCCTTCTCCCAGAGTCAGCCTCCAGACTGAACTGTTCCTGCTGTTACTGTAGATTACCAAGAGACTTCACCTATCCTGTGATGGGACATTATGCTCAACGTGCGCATTTGGTGGCAGTATTTCTCCACCCTGTCCAGGCCAAAACTTCAGCTGCTGACCCCAATTTAGGGCAGCAATAACCTCAGCTCTTATGAACAAATAAATGTTTGTCAGAGCTGCCTAAGCTTAGAGCAATGGGCAAGACGAGTCATGCAATCATGCTCTGAGGCCATGCAGTGCCTCTCCAAAACACTGTGAGGCAACTAACTGCCTCCTCACCTGAATATAAAGATGAAAAGCATGAGGAGCATGCAGAAGGTGGCTACGTTGTCCATAGTCTTCATCAGCACCACAAGCTGGCGGCGCAGCGCGGGCATGAAACGCACCAGCTTCAGCACCCGCAGGAGGCGGAAAGTCCTCAGCACAGAGAGGCCCCCATCCGACTGGCCGATGATCTCCCAGATGCTATGGCCCAGGGAGGCACAGAGAGTATGAGGGACAAAATGAAAGACAAGTGAACGAACAGAAGAGAGAGGAATAATGCTAATCCAAGTTTTCACCTCTGCATTGGCAGCAAGTATAAAGTGGTCAGAGAGAAAACCTGCTTAAGCAAGACATAATTACAAGTGTATACTATAGGCTTATACTTATGTGTAGAAAGATGCATTTCTCTCATAAGAACATGAACATGGCACTGCATGTTGCAAGAATGAGGGAAGGATTGCAGCATTAAATTCCAGCAATACAAGTTCTTCTATCACACATTAAACCTTTGTAGCACGCTTAATTTGTGCATTTTAAAAATATTACAATATTTAAAAATAAACAGTTAACATTTGTTGTGGACTTACAAGGCAATTGCAATTGCCTCCATTCTACAGAGGAGAGAACTGAGGGGCAGAAATGCTGTGCAGCTTGCCTAGGGTCACCAAGTGTTGGGAAAAGACATCTTGGTCTCCCAACCCTTGGCCTCATGCATCAGCTCAGTTCCTCCTAGTATAGTGCTAAATCCTTTTTGAAAAGGCACATGAAAATGTGCAAACTCTGTGGTACTCTTTTCTATGTGCATTTCAGTTGATTCCCAAGGCCTTTTTCACCTGATGATGACGATGATACTGTCAAAGATGTTGTAGGGGTTGCGGAGGTAATCAAAGAGACCAAAAGCAGCAAGTTTCAGGATCATCTCCAGGGCAAACATGCTTGTAAACACAACGTTGCTGATCTCCAAGATGTTGGTCAATTCCTCTGGCTAAAGAGAAGGGAAAGTCAGAACTGAAAGACCCCTGAAATTATGTGAAATAAAGTGCCACCATTCCCAGGAGACAGGCTTTGTAGGGAGCTGCGAAGCTCCCATGGGTGAGATTAGAGTGGAGCTGGATAGAGCCATTTGCATTCCAATTCCTTCGCACATTTACTACCTTCATCATAGATTATGTCCCTAACAAATGCTTTTACTAGAGGTAGTCAGGAGCCCCACACAGGGAGGGGCCATTCACACAGCCAAGGCTGACCAAGTGTCTCTCACATCCCACTCCATAACCTGGTCCCTCAGCTAAAGGCTGCTTTACTTTGTGCAAAGAATTTTAGTATTTTTTGAAGCAGGGCAAAAGTGGTTGATCTGTGGTCAACCTCTTTCTTCAACGATTTCTCCTTCTGAGGTTTCCACAGGTAGCGAGCACAATTTTTTGCTGAAATTCTGAAAACACCTGAATGGTAGGAGAACAGTTCCCCATCTTCCTCTAAACCTCACTGCACTTCTCTGCCCCTGTCCCCTCCTTTTTTTTTTTTTTCCCTTCCTCAGTTTTTCTCTCCTCTGCTCCTCACCAAAACTTTGGTATGCATTAGTTCTACAGTCTTGTTCCAGCAGTCTTTTCTCATGCCTCTGTCCTCAGAGTGGTCTCAATAATTACCCAAGTGGATATCAGACTGGATGAATAAGATGGTGAGGAGGGGCACACTGCTAACAGCTACCTGGAAAGGACAGGAAGAGCAGGACAGGGTGAGGAAAAGAGAAAAATGGACAGCAAGAGGAGAAAGGCAGATGCACAAGGTTAAAACCTCCAGGTATGACACAAGATGACAGTGTTGAGAGGAGAAAAAAAGAGAGAAAAAAAGAAAAAAGGTAATCTGACCCTGCCTCAGGCATTTTTCTGTTGAATCTCTGACACATCTTTCAGCCCCTGCAATACAGCCTACTCCAGCAGAGACCAATGTGTTTGTGCATACGAGAGAAAGCGTTTTAATGACTCCATCGGTGGAACAAGTCAGAGCAAATTAAATTACTCCTCCTTTTGTTTTCAGAATTAATTACTTTTTCTTCAGTGTGTGCAGCCTTGGAAACTTCTCTGACAAGGTCAGGAGAGGGTCTAGATCATTTCCTCAGAAATGATGAAATATTGCTTCAGAGGGAGACAGAGGCTGTGCTGATGTCATTGATGAGGGATGCCAGGATCTTGCCACCCAGTGTGAAATTGAGGCATTCCCTGCACTGAATTTGTGATGGATTCATCTGCTCAAAGCACCTCTCACCCAGAGACTAGGACTGCGCCAGGCCAAACAGCAAGGGCTAAGGTCTTCAACGGTCAGATGCATGAGAGGCAACACGTGCGCAAGACTGCCCATGTTTGCACATACTCAGGCACACTCGTACATAGCCTAGGGAGACTCTCATGGCAATGGTAAAGTACAAAATGTTCCAAAAGTGAGGGAAAAACTTCCTCCCAGTATAATAGGTTGCATCTTGGGGCCAGGCTAGATAACTTATAGCCTTCAGACCGCATGAGACAACTAGGGCAATTCACCTGGCTGTAGCATGCTGGCCACCACCTTCCCAAGCAGCAGCTGGCAGGGACCTGCTCCAGATGAAGGTGTGCCACCTTCCCAAGCAGAGGTACAAGGCATGGTAGCTCCAAGGCACTTCTTCAGGGCTTCTCTGCCCCAAATTTCCATGTTTACCTTGGGGCAGGTATGTCACACCTCAGACAAGGTTACATATTTGACGTTTAACCTACTGCACCACTAAGCCCCAGCTCCAAGTCTTCAAGGTGTATCTGATCCAGGCTCTGTGGCAGCAGGCAGTAGTGCTCTCACTGTTTGGATACCCGTGCTGAAAAGTTGGCTGAAAACTCCCCTCTTCCTTCACATTGGTCTGAACTATGCCTGGCCACCAGGCCACTCTTTTAAGCATCACATAAAATGTATGGGAACAAGAAAACTGCAAAAGCTTATTGTTTGGGGCAAGACAGGACAGATGATCCTGGCACTGTGGAAACAAAAAAGTGAATCCCTGCAGGTCAGAGCAAATATTTTTACCATGAACTCAGTATTAGTGTCCACTAAGAAGGGTACTCATGGTCTCTCCCTGAGGACTTCAAAAATGGTATTTTTCTGAAGGGCAGCTTTTGTGTTGGCTGTTACTTATTCAGCTGGTGGAAGGGGAAGTGATGGAGGAATGCACTTCTGGGTCTGACCCTCCCCCTGAAGCTCAGGGCTGCTTTAACTCGTGCTCTGGGACCCCCAGGGGCCCAGAACCTCTCAGGTGACAAAATGGACTGGAAACTGCTCCTCACATCTGTGGCTTTCCATGTCCTTTGCTAATTTCTTGCACTCTTTGTTGCAGATTTTTATTGAAACAGTCTATTTCTTTAAAATCAAAAAAAGGGAAGATGGCTCAATTTCCATCCATAATTACATTTGAATAACAAAACCATCCTGAGAATGAGGAGGAGAGGAAGGGAGATAAGAGCAAAGAGAGAGAAAGAACAAGGGCACATGGGAAGGGAGAGATGAAGATCACGTCATGGAGAGCTAGGCAGTAATGACACTCGCCAGGAACATGAGGTCCATATGCTAAACAGAGATGCCAATTTCAGCCTGAATCAAATGATTATGTCAGTGAGAATGAGCAATGTAAAAAAGCAACAGGCTATGATGGTGGATTATACTCCTTTCTGCTGTCCACATGTTCTCTCTTGTGCTGTCATAGGGAGCAACTGACGTTTGAAAAGCCATGCTTGCATCTCACTTGTGGAAAAGGTCACCTGTTCCCCTGTCTCTCCTTCCCTCCCTGACATCTGTTTCTCTAGTCAAGCTTCCACCTGTTAATCTTTTTCTAATGGGCCATCAATCAGCTGCAGCAAAGCATCCTTCCTAGAGAGAGGGGCAGGAAGGACTGGGCAGGGAAAGGAAGGAGTGATGGACAGAGAGAAAGGCATCAAAAGAGGAATCAAAACACAAAGCTGGGAAAAAAAAAAAAAGGCAAAATAAACTCACTGGCACCCACAAGAAGTAGAAAAGGAAAGATTTTTAAAAATGGAATAGGAAAGAAATAAAGGCTGGGGAAGGAAAAGCAACACAAAGGGAATGAACTCAGGAAAAAACGAGAAAAAGAGAGAGGAGCCAGCTGGAAAGGCACACTCACAGATCCTGCACTGCAGTTATTTCTAGAGATACAGGTAATTTGGCAGAGTGCAAAAAGCCATCATCTGGGAGCCGGGGCTGCAGGGTGGTGGCCACCAGGAGCTGTGTCCTGTGGGGGGATGCCCTCACACCTGCGGCAGTGTAGCCACGAATGACAGTGGACAGGGCTGGTGGCTGGGACATGGTTGGTGCTGGGGACTCTTTCTGGCCAGGAAAGGGTGAACTTGATAAACAGGGCAAGCAAACAGAGAAAAAGTAGTTCTCTCTTTTTCTTCCTATCAACACACAGGATCCCCAACACAATAGATGTGTCACCTCACAGCTGTGAGAACTCCCCAGGCTCCCACAGACAGCACTCAGGCATTTCTCATCAAAATGGTTAGTAAGGCTTCCTCCTCCCAGGCCACCCAGGTTTACCTAGAAATTGTAAATTGAAGTGTCCACAAGGAAATGCCTGAACTCAAGGCTATTTTCAGTCCAATCAAAACCAGGGAACACTAGAAATCTCCCCACAAGAAAAGCCTGTTCATATTGCGAAACCGGGATAGACCCATTTACCCATCATGCCAGGAGAGAAACTTGAACAAAAATGTGGGAGCTGAGTATCGGGGTGAGGAGGGTGGCTTGAAGGGGAGAGAGATCCCAGGGGGCAGACCATGCCCAGAGCCAATGTTTTAATCAGACTGGTTCACCTATTCTGAATATAGATCTCTTTCCAAATCCATGAAACTCCCTAAATCACATCTTCATGGCACTAAGACCTTCATGCCTACCAGTGTAGATCTCATATTGAGAGTGAAGTGTACAAATCAGGTCTACTTCAGGGCTCTGGCCCAGCAATCAGAAACTAGACCTGAGGCAACAGATGGCAGCTACTCAGCATTTTTCTCCTTTTCGGTTTCTTACTAACTAACATTGAAATTCTTATCTCAGATAAGACCGAAAATGTAATTAGTCCATTATCTGACAGCAGCCAGAAACTCCTGCACTGTGGGAAAGGTTAAGAATATGCAGACCACCATGAAGCTCCCACAGGAGGAGTTTCTCCTTACCAGAAGTAAATTGGCAACTGCCTAGAAACTGAAGAGTTATTGATGTGATCTATGCAGACCAGCCCTATCAAATCGTACCTGCACATCACTGCCTCTAAGAACATGAGAGAGAAATATTCCATACAGAGGTCTCTCCAGCCTGTCCATTTTTACTCACCATTTCAAAGTCATTTGACCATAATCAGAAGAGTCATAGAGATCAGCCACAGAACACACGAACTAGCTTTTACTTACTTTAATCACCACCCCACAACCAATGCAGGATTTCATGATGTTTTGTTAGATCCTAGTTTTACAAGACTGGAGTAATATGGTTTCATCTACCACCCCAGGGAGACTGTTCCATCATTTACTAAATGTCAGTATGATGTGCTGGCTTGGACATTCGCTAAATGTTTCTGACAAGCAGCAAATAGTAAAAAGAGAAGCAATAACTGTAAAATATGAACTTGTGGATGCAATAAATGCTGGTATAAAGGGAAATCACACAGGCTAAAGGTTATGAAGGTACTGATCCACAGGACTGATCTAGTTAGGAAACAAGGGATTGTCTCCTGATTCACAAAAGACAGACCTCATAAAGTATTGATCTAATGTAGGAAGGAATACTGTAAGTAGACACTGGAGAAGATAAACAAAGTTACTCGGCAATTGTCTCATTGGCTACTAATGACAAAGAAGCTCAAGTCCAACAGGCCAATCAAGAAATATATGAGAAAGGCAGCCTGAGACATTCAGCTGGGACCAGCCTTTCATCCTCATGCTGAATAAGGGAGAAAAGCATGCAGCACCACATCCTCTGAGAATATATTAAAAAAGTAAGCCTCTTTAAAGGATCCTTCTGGACAGGCACAAATCATATCTTGTTTTTCTACACTGGACTTCAAAAGTAGGCACTTCCAAGTAGAAGCAGATCTGAAGAACTGCAAAAACTATTTCAAGCAGGACAAAGCTTGAAATGATGGATTTTGGCTTGTGCAATGTCCCAGCAATATCTGAAGGCTTAATACTGAGATTACATGGCATAATGCACACTGATAGATTTGAATAATCTTATCTATTTACAAGAGATAACTTTGATAAGATTAAGGATTAAAAATGACTCATAGCAGTGCAGTTTGTCCCAAAATGAGTTAAATACCCTTACAAGGACATGGGAAGTTGCCTTGGCCACACAAACAGGACAGGACAAGGGACTAGATGGATAAGCTAAACAAAGCCAAATTCCAAGGTGATTTCGATCCGACTACAGTTGTTTGACTTGCTGAGGTTAAGTCTCCTGGCAGAAAAACATTGTGAATATTAAACTCCTAAATTGTAACAAAGAGATTATTTTAATCCATGTTTTTCTTTCTGTTGGTTAAGGCTCAGGAATCGAAGGTGAGACTCACACATGGGCTCTGTCCCCCATGTTCCTACATTTCTGAGCCTGATATTTGTGCCTGGCTCCTACAGTCTCTCTCACCCCTTAACCTGATGGTTGGCAGGTGCTTTGGTCAGTGGGCCAGCTCACATGGGTATAGTCCGTGAGCAAGTGGAGCAGCAAGGGGCTGACAGACGTGCCATAAGGTGCTGCCAGGACTGCTCAAACCTGTGACACCTTCGCATGTCCTCTTGCCCAGCCAGATACGTTCCCAGAGAGTGGCTGGGGTTGTGATCTCCCATGCACTAGAAAACAGAAAGCATCTCTATCCGCATTAGCTCTGGGTCAGGAGAAATTCACATGATGAACTAGCTGAAGCAACAGAAGCTACTTCAGTCATTGGATGGCGTCACCCTGCAAATCACAGATCTCTGTGGGCAGAGGGGTTTTGCTGGATATCATTCTGTGAAAATTTGTGTTTCTGGGAGGAACACAACAACAGGAAAAAGAGAAAGGAAGGAGAGAAAAGGAGGCGATGAAGCATCAGTCTTGAGATGTACTGATAGCATGGCTTGAGGAAAACTGAAAGAGAGCAAGGGGAAGGGTAATTGCCCATGTGCTTTTGTGTTAACTGCTGGCTGAAAAATACCTGGAATTCATGATATGGTCTGAATATTTTTTTTTTTTTTTAATCTTCCTGTTCCAGGGAAACAGGGTTCAGTATACACATTTTAAATAAACAGGCTGCACCACATTTTTCAGTTACGATCAATTTGGCTGACATCTCTTTCTAGTAGAAACAGCATGCAGGGTCATAAGCTTTTCCTAGCTACTTATGGATAAAAAGTGATGGCATAACTTCAAGGATGTGTCATTAATAACCTGCTACTAGAAACCCCAAGGCTGTTGGCAGCTCCCACTCTGCTGCGGGCCATACAAACACAGCAGAGGTGGCCTAGAAGGGCTTAAATCACACACAATAGCCAGACCATGAAAGTGGATTCTCTACCTCCAGCTCAAATATTCTTCTGCTAAACTCTTAATTCATGCTGTCTCCAATAAACCAAAATGAACAATGGCTCTCCCTGCTTGGTACTCACATCTTTAAAACATCAGTGGGCAGTTTTCATATTGTCCTGGGCTTCAACCCTTAGTCATCTCTCTGCTACGTGATAAATACATCGCTCTTTTTTATCTATTTTCATGAGTCAACCTCTCCAGCCTTTTCTTCATTCTCCTCTCTTCTGAGCTCCTGCCAGTATTTTTCTGGTACTGAAGCATCCAGTGCAGTTTTGCATTCTGGGATCAAATTAAGGTTTCCCATCCTTGTATCAGAGACTAGCTGGGCTTTGAAAAATGGTCTAATGCTTGGTATGTGCGTGGGATCCAGACATCTGGGGCTTCAAATACTGGCTCAGACACTGTGTTGCCTCAAACAGGGAATTCTTAAATATCTCAAGATATATCCACCCTGATACAGCACAGGACAAATCTGAGTGCCTTGTTTGAACCAGACTCACTGCTCACTCTTTGCTGCCTGGGACTGTGTTCAGGACTAGACTTCACCTTGGCTCCAAAGCTTCAATGCAGTCAGCATCTCAGTAGTGGAGCGATCTTTTATTTTTGTAATCTAGGCAGACACATGGAGCGAATCATGGTCACATTCAGATTGGCAGCATAGATCTGTGACATGGATGTACTGCATGGACTCCTTCAATGCAAAGTGCAGCAGAGCTAGCAGCCAGCACTGTGGGTGCAAGGTCATGGGTGTGCTTAACACCCTCTGAAGCTGGCTCTGTACATCACAAAATAGACACAGCCTCTGTTTCCCAGCTATAAAACGAGAGCACACAATCCTTCTCCATCTCAGAAGTCTGTCATTAGAATAAAGTGCACTGCTGACTCAGAGCCGCCTGCAAACTATTGGCGTGAAAGTCAAACGTGTGCCCACATCTGCTGTCTGTGACTGACCTATCTATCACTTCTTGCTGTCAGGGCAAAGGAAAGGCTCAAGTCATCTGAGCCCCCAAAACGACTGGAGGTGGGAGGTGGTCCCTTTCCGAGACTTCTTGTACAGATAGACTGTGCTCAGGCATCTCTTAATTAAGCTGGAAAGGCTAGCAAACTGATGGATTTGAATTGAGATGATGGTGAAGTGCCTGTGACATTCCCAGAAGGCACATTAAATTAACCAAATAGACTAAGGATTCAGTAAGCTAATGAAGAGAGAAATGAGGGATAGACATGAGGAAGATGGAAGACACGAGAGTGAATGAGAGAGAAGCAGACGGAAAGAGAAGACAGGGTAAAAAAGAAACACAGAGGAATAAAAGTGAGCAGGGAGGAGGAAAAGAGAGGGACTGAAAGGAGGTGAGAGGAAAATACATGGACACAGTGAAAGTGATTAAGCGCAGGGATAAGGAAGAAAAGACCCTGCAAGATCCTGAGGCTTTCTCCAAAGCTGTGCTGGGACCATCTGTGCTGTGGCCTGGAATCCAAATTGCTCAGCCTCTGCCTCCACTAAGTTGCATCAACTGCTTAGCAAGGTTGTAACCCTGAGCAGGACTCACTGGTCCTCGCTGCCCACCCTGTGCGCCTTACCTGCTCATGGTGCTCAATGCCCATGCTGATTGTGTTCACTAGGATTGCAATCATGATCCCACGGTTGAAGTACTTGCTGTCCACAATCCCTCGAAGCTTGACCCTCACTTCTCGCCACATGTCACTGCAAAGCTTCAGCCGTCTGCCTTCTTCCACCTCCTCCTCTTCCTTCTCCTGTGTAGAGGCACCCTGGTCCTCTCTGCTGCCGCCTTCTTCCTTTTCGCTGGCTCCTCCATCCTCCTGGTCTGAGTCAGTGCTACCCAGGACAGAGAGCCTTCGGGATGCTTCTTGCTCCCCCCTATGGCATCGGGGGCAGTTGGTGGGATCAGAGGTTGCTGTCACAGCAATGGGCTGGACCAAGCCCTGAGGAGGGCAGTCAAGAGAGTTGTGCTGCTGGCAAAGCCCTGGGGAGAGAAATGATCATGTTTAATGGAGAAGCTATGAAAAAGACATCCAACCTGGGCACCCGTTTGGCTTTTGGGTATTTAGACAGGGTAACTGGGATTTTTAGCTGTAAAGATGATTAAACACTGGCATACCATCTCAAGGGCAGCAATAAAAGCCATTGCTGTCGGGGGCTTTACACTGACTGGCTGTGTCACCAAAAGGCACGGTACTGTTCAGCTGCCAGTGATTAGGCTCAATGGGGGTTCATGTCCATCAGAGGAAGAACTGTTTTGTCTGATGCAGGAATCACAGCTTGATACTCTAGCCTGTGTTAAGTGGGAATTGAGGGAAAAATGATCACAAGGGCTGATTTTGGCCTGAACAGCTACAAGTGGGGTCTGAGAATTCACATGCTGAGCTGAACTCTCTAAATTAGGGGTTACATTAGGAAAGCATCTCAAGAAGCCAGAAAAGGTAGCACAAGAACATTTCCTCCTGATAGTCCGTGAGCTCTGAATCAGAACAGAATTGCTCACTTCAGTGAGAAAACTAAGTTTGTGTTCCTCCATCCTCCATTTGGGCCTGGAAGATCAGATTGACACTGGGGGAATGAATCAATTAATTCATTAACACAGTCCACGAGGCCTGCAGAAACTTTCCTCCCAGCAAGTAAAGAAAATGAAAGACTGAGTATGCAAGGCCAGCTGAAAAATCTGCCTTTTTCCTTGTTAAAGGGAGCATTACTTACGAAAGATATCAGCAAGCGGCTAATACTAACTCTGTAAAACTATTTTTAGTCACTTTTCAGGCCAGGAATCTAATTTAAATGGTATCTCGTGCCTAATTTTACACAACAGTATGTGCTCCCGTCAAGGGAAATTGTCTTTGTTGCCCTTGCATATCAAACTGACTTCTTCAGTATTGCTCCCTTGGTTCAGAAGACACCCTATTGCAGTTCTACTCCCTTTGCCTCTCTCTTGAGGTCCCGCAGCTTCAGTTTGGGAGAAAAGCTCTGGGGGACCTGCTGCGTCACCGAGTCCAATCCTTAGTCCCACTCTGTTACATCCCCCTAATACTTCTCTTCCCAAACTGCTATCATCACCCTGCTATACCAGGCCTGGAGCCTTTTATAAGCCTCGGTCCGTGCCTTTAATGTTATCCCATTATGGTCTCTGGGTTTCAGACCTGGGTTTCCCATGTTCCCTGCTGGTCACCCCAGTTTCTTTCCCATTCTTGCTGGTCATCCCCACCTGGCTGGTCTGGCATGCTGGCCATGGCCCCATGCTCAATGGCCAATGTTAATTCTAATTCTGTGCTTTGTAAACACAGGTCCTTTGGCAAGCTGGCACATTGAGATGCTCCCGGTTACTCTCACACTTCCACTACTAGCATTTCCAGCTTTACCCACACAATCCTTACTGTAGCGCCTCTGGCTTTTCCTGCTCATGCCCAGCTTGGCATCGTTTGGCTCCATGTGGCCCTGGCGTCGGCTCTGTATGCTGTTGTACAGCCCAAGGGTGCGGCGTTTGGCTTTGCGAACAATGTGGCAGACATATTGGAAGATCTCCTCGTAACAGTCTCCCGGCTCCATGTAGCTGGCAACAGTGCTGGAGGAGAGGTACCGGACCCGCTGCTCCTGCATCAGCTGGTGCTCCCGCTGCTTGGTCTCCGAGAACTGCGTGGCGATGACCACCAGGCACAGGTTAATCATGAAGAAGGAGCCCACCTAGTAGTAAAGGAGAACACAGGACAGTCAATGTCAGCACGAGGAAGAATATGCAGGAGGGGGAATGTAAGAGAGAGGAGGGGAAAGTGACTGGAGGCAGTCAGAGGAATGGGAACCAGTCAGCATATGGAGATGGGATTTCAGAGAAAGCCAGCGCTGGCTGAGCTTGTTTTTGAGAACTCAGTGGATGTCATTTCCATGCAGAATTTAGAGCTCTGAACTGAAATTCAGGAAACACAGGCCAAACTTTTAGCTCTTTTGGAAGGCTTTGGGACCTTTAGCAAGTCACTTAGAAGTTACCTGCAACAAGTTTGATGAAAACTGGACTTTTTTTTTCCCTCTCTTTGGTGTTAAAAAGAAGGTGGGAGACAGAGGACCAGTTAGGTAGTTCGGTTGCTTTCTCCTCTGCTTGCTCTTTCACTACCAGAAAAATCATGCACCGTAATTTATGGTCTTCAGCTCTTGGAGAATATGTCAGTATTCTCAGATCATTTTATTTATTTTTACCATTTACACCTTAATTCACCATACAGGGAGATTGCACTTTGCTGAAATGAATGAGCTCTTGAAACCAACGAGGATTTTACAAAAACTAATGGCTTTGAGAAGGACACTAAATATTCTGGCAAAACTTGCTTCCTTGCTTGTTTTCTATTCTTCTGATTCTTCTGATACTACACATATTATATTAGTTCTTACTTTACTTGTCCTCCAGCCTAGGTAGGCTTTCTATGTCAAATACAAAACCAACCATAACCTACTCCCCCGATTTCTTACAAACAACAACAACAACAAAAAAATGCACGAGTTCTTCCCATTCTCCATACAGAAGCCAACAAGTCTACCAGGCTTATTTTCCACGTTTGCATGGCCCCTTTAAGCTTTCTTTGCCTCAGTTTTCCTGTCTGCAAAACGGAGCAAATATTTCTTGGTGCTGAGAGATCTGGAGGTAAAAATCTCGCTCTCAGTGTTACATACTATGAAATTACACATGAATCTCCACCAGGAAGTCTATCCATTACACTTAGGATAAAACCTGGCCTTCAAAATGATGATAATTTCATACATAAAAAGGCTGGTAGCCATGTTCAAAACCATGGTCAAAAGCTATGATGCCTTGATTGTTGTCTACTCCCTGTAGAGCTCTGTGGCAACATGGCATTGAAAAAACACAGAGTCTGATGTCTGAACAATGACCAATGTCTGCACTGCTCTGACACGGACTCTGCGGGGCAGCGCTTGGGAGGAGAGGAAGCATCAGCTCAAGATTTCTGCTTCCACTGGACCAGGGAGCATCCCTGCTAAGGGACATCCTTGCACTGTGTTTCTCCTGTACAAATCCACACAGGACCCAGTCTCGCCTCCCTGTCTCTCCTTTCCAAGCAAATAGCTCTGACAGAGCTGGATCCAGTCCTGCCCTTTTTGTCACACCTGTGTCCTCCTCTATAGAAACCTTCCAGCAAAGGGGACAGGGGCAAGCAAAGGTGGTGATAACCTGACTCCAGTCGTTGTGCATGGAAAAGGGGGAGGTTTTTTCAGCAAGTACTCCAGCTTGTTTTGTCTATCCAAACAGCCTTCCCCTCAGCGCACAGCTCTTGCTACTCCCTCACCAGCTTGCCCCTTGGTTGTCTCTTTCTCTTACACACAGGTGCCCAGCAGCTCTGTCCAGAGGCTCAAGATAGTGGCTCTCAGTTTTGCAAAGGGGAGGTGTCCCTGTTAGTATCTGAATAACCCTTTGAAAGACAAAGCCCTTGTCAACCAGATACCACGTAAGGACAGTAAACCACCTCAAAATAAATGGCTTTTATTCTCCTCCTCTCAGCACCCTTCAAAGCTGTTCTAATTCTGTTTCCCTTCATCACTGAACCCTTCTCTTGCCTCTCCTCCCACCCATATTTCAGCCTATTTTTCCTTTGGCTTCTGTATGTGGCCTTGAAAATTAAAACGATGCCTCATTCAGATTCTTTCACCTTCCCCCAAGATTTCCCGTAGTTCATGATGCCTTGCATGTTTTCACCGATGAGAGTATGACTGGGAATCCAAATTCTTCTCCAGTGCACTCTCCTGCCCTCTTTCCCCTCAGCATCACACGACACTCACACACGGGCTTGCCCATTCAGTTACCTCCCTCAGCTCGCTCAGAGTTAGCATGGTTGGGAGCTAGACATCAGCTGTGCATGCATTTCTGAAACCCTAATTGTGGCACTGTCAGGTACTTTGCAACTTCCAACAACTCCACAAACCACAAGCAATTAAGACTTGCAACACCTTCTCTCTAGGCTACAAGCAGAGGAGCTGAGGGCAACAAGATGCCCTCAGCAGGGTCACACTGTCAGCCTGGGGTTGAATCTGGAAGGGCGTTCAAGTTTCACACCACCAAGCACTGTCCTCACAGGCACCACTTGCTGTGATCTCCCACCAGATGACCAAAAAGGGCAGAAGTGAAAGGACTGGATATTGCAACTAACCCCCAATCCTTAAACCTCTTAGCTAGGAAGATCAAATGCGAAAAAAATTAGCTTGCTCAATCCTTAAGATGACAGACAAGTCCACAAACTCTAAGGCTCTGCTGAGCTTGACACTGTCTCCCAGCTAGCAGAAGGACAGGAAGGGTCCCAGATGGCTCATAATTGAGTGATCCATCTCAGCCAGCTGAGCGGGGAGACCAAACGTGTCTGACGTGGAGTCAGACAAAGCATCTGACAGAGGCAGAAGGAGACGGTTGATTCAGAGCCCCAACACAGGAGTCCCGTTCAGCCCGGAGACTGAGCTGTAGTTTGATTAAGCGGATCCTGGCCTTGTTCAGCCCAAGGTTTGATCCTTGCCTCTGCAATATCTAATGCAATCTGACTAGTGCTAGAGATGTTGACTTGCCCATTATTTTTATTGCTTATGTCTTGGTATCCAGCTTGTCTTTTGAAGCCCATGTGTGTAAGCACAGTGCACTTCAAGAAGGCCACTGAGCACTGCAATGTGGAATCTGAGAGTTCAGAAGAGCTTTCTCTAGTCCAGGAGCCACACCAGTGACCAAGTAGCTGGAGAGGTGACAAAAAGACAGCTGGACTTCAAGCAGAAATACCCAAATGAAACACTGACCCGAGAGGTGAAAGCAGACCTTCCTTCACATCACCTCCCTGATCTCTGGCAGAGGGGGAAGCTATTTACAGTTTGCTGAATATGTAAAATGCTTTTACCAGGTTGTTCTGCAAGGCCACTCTGAGGGCCAGGGTCAGCCACCACTCTTCCCCTCAAGGAAGCACATCTATACAGAAGTCCTAACCGCGCTGGGAATATGTCCAGGTGGTGGAGCCTTCTTCCTGCCAGATGAGCAGTAGCAGGTAATGCCCTTATGTAGGTGTGTGAAGGTGTCTCTGTGAGGGAAGACATAGTCATGGATGAAAGCTCTAAAGAAGAGGCTGTGGAGATCTGGCCCCAGAAGAATAAGTTCAAGCCACGGCTAGGATGTATGTGGAAAAGCAAAGAGTCAGAGCAAACCTGCTTAGAAACCCAGGCCTTTCAACCATGGAGAAAAAGGGAAAGATAAAGGCTGGAAGGACCGTGGTTCATGAGACTCAAAGAGGGATCATCATTTCTATAGGAAGACTCAGATGGAAAATGAAACCAAGTGATAGCAAGTTCACACTATGGTGCTGCTATGTGCTGCAAAAGATGTGTTACACATGCAAAGAAGGCAACAGAAAGGCTAAATACTTTGTTGGTGTAACTCCATGAAAGGCAAAGGAAATATCCCATCTAGCATACGGCTCCTTTGCTCTGAGCAGTCCCCAGAGTAAGCTGAGGTTCATGTGCTCCTGTGTTTGATGGAAATAGACCTACATGGCTTCTGCAAATGAGGAGGGAGTGTCTAGAAATGTCAATGACACTCTGCAGTAAAATCTTAGGTGGAGTGTTTAATTGAGGGTTTTCAGCACCTGCAAATTCAGAGACAAAGTTTGAATCACTGGGAATCCACATGAGGTAAACCAGCACTAGAAGGATGCTCCTGCTTAGAAACCAAAAATGTGCTGACAGAATGTATGTAGTTTGCAGCAGGGGGTGAGGGGCAGCTTTTGGAACTGACACACAGGAGATGGGCATGCCCACCCTAATAGTTAAACACTGATTCTGCACAGTAATTCCTGGCTTTGGGAGAGACTGTCTGAGGCAAGGAGTAAATTCTGTGCCAAACTGCACATTGTGCAAATCTGGGTATCCTGGCCATGCTGCTCAAAGTGAAAATGTGAGTAGGTACTAAATATCTATTGCATGGTGGGAGATCTGAACAAACTTTATTTGAAATCATTGTTTTCTGAACTCACAAAAAGCAGTGGATGTTCAGTTTACCTCTGGGAACAGAGCTGGGGGGAACTCCCCTCCATCCTGTCCGATCATACCTCTACGCTGCCTCTCCTTGGGACACTCCAGCCTCAAAGAAAAAGCAGTATTCCTTAAGGTGTATTTCACCTCTGCTGTCCTGGCTCATGCTTCAGCCCACAGGGAGTAGGTCATCTTTCTGTTTTTCCCTCCTCATCTTTCCCTTGCAATGGTAGGCCAGAAGGCAGGGAGAAATCAAGGATACCATGAAGATTCAGCTTTTTTTGTAAGTTCTCTGACCTGAATGGACCAATAGATCTTTTTTGTGCCACTCCCCATATGTACAGGCTACATAATTTCTACCAGAAACTGGATTAAGGTTTGTTTGTTCTCAGGTCACTGCATGTGAATTTCAATTTAAACTAGGTCCTGTGCCAGGTGAGTCTGCTAATGTTACTGGGAGACTGCTTCTAGAGATCCTATTTCTAGGAGGGCATGGTGATGTAGGACAAGTAGTAGGTGAAGAGCAGAGTCTTAGTCAGGTCCATTCACTAGTCCATCCAAATGCATGTAGGCCTTGGAAATACGTGCTGAGTTCCTTACTGGCTAAGCGATCTGGAACTAAATTGCACCTACTGTGTACAGATTTAATACTTCCCATAATCCATCCTATGTCTTTCCCTTCTACTCTTGACTTTGTTTCCCATGTGGGAAAAATGCAAGACCCTTCATTTAAAAAAAAATCTTCCTTGTTAGAAACAGGATATTCCCTTCAAGAAAATGCATTTACATGCAGGAGGCTTGAGAAATGGAATAGGCAATGGCACCACATTTCTAACCTCTCTTCCCAGGCACTGACAACAAACGTCCTTACAGCAAAATAACCTTCAAACTTCACTTGTATAAATCTATGGGGCTTAGAAACTGCTTATTAAGTTCTCATCACAGATACACTTCTCTCTTTCCATCCCCACCAGCCACAAGTGATCTCATACAGCCAATTTATGTTGGACTGCTGACACTTTCGGAGCAGCAGATCCTTTTCTTTCATAGTGAGGAAGTAATTCAGTGTGACAGACCCTGAATCTGACAAAATCTGAATCTGAGAAATCCAGGTGCAGCCAAAAGCCACAAAACATGGCTCAGGAACAACTCAAGAGCTTAAAATTTATAAAGAGACCAAGTGAGAGGGTAGACACAGAAATGGTTTTCTGTGCTTTTGGGCCTACTAGTTTGGGAAATTTACTCTGAGACAAGATCAGCCCTGGTCCTCATGGGGGACTTCAACCACCTCAGTATCTGCTGGGGGGACCATACAGCAGGGCATAAGCAATCCAAGGGGTTCCTGGAATGTGTTGATGATAACTTCCTTCTCCAAGTGATAGAGTAGCCAACGAGGAGAGGTGCCATGCCAGACCTTGTTCTCACCAACAAGGAGGGGCTGGTGGGAAATGTGAAACTCCAGGGAAGCGTTGGCTGCAGTGACCATGAAATGGTGGAGTTCAAGATCCTCAGGGCAGTGAGGAAGGCACACAGCAGGCTCGCTACCCTAGACTTCAGGAGAGCAGACTTTGATCTTTTCAGGGACCTGCTTGGTAGAGTACCATGGGATACATCCTTGGAGGGAAGATGGGCCCAAGAAAGCTGTTTAATATTCAAGGATCACCTCCTCCAAGCTCAGGACCCATGCATCCCAACAAAGAGGAAGTCAGGCAAAAACGCTAGGAGGCCTGTGTGGATGAACAAGTTGATCCTGGACAAACACAAAAAGGGAGCCTACAGAGGGTGGAAGCAAGGACAGGTACCCTGGGAGGAATATAGAGAAGTTGTCCAAGCAGCCAGGGATCAGGTGGGGAATGCCAAAACCCTGATCGAATTAAATCTGTCCAGGGTCATCAAGGGCAACAAGAAAAACTTCTATAGGTACATTTGTGATAAAAGGGGGACTGGGGAAAATGTGGGCCCTCTCCAGAAGGAAACGGGAGACCTGGTTACCCGGAATATGGAGAAGGCTCAGGTACACAGCGACTTTTTTGCCTCAGGCTTCACTGGCAAGTACTCCAGCCACACCGTCCAAGTTGCAGAAGGCAAAGGCAGGGACTGGGAGAATGAAGAACTGCCCACTGTAGGAGAAGATCAGATTTGAGACCAACTAAGGAACACGAAGGTGTACAAGTCCATGGAACCTGATGAGCTACATCCATGTGTCCTGTGGGAACTGGCAGATGAAGTTGGTAAGCCACTATCTGTCATACTTGAGAAGTCATGGCAGTTCAGTGAAGTTCCCACTGACTGGAAAAAGGGAAACATAATGCCCATTTTTAAAAAGGGAAAAAAGGAAGACCCGGGGAACTACAGACCAGTCAGTCTTACGTCTATACCTGGGAAGATCATGGAGTGGATCCTCCTGTAAACTATGCTAGGGCACATGGAAAATAAGGAGGTGATCGGTAAGAGCCAATAAGGCTTCACCAAGGGCAAACAGTGTCTGAGAAATCTGGTGGCCTTCTATGATGGGGTTGCAGCATTGGTGGACAAGGGAAGGGCAACTGATGTCATCTACCTAGACTTGTGCAAAGCATTCGACACTGTCCTGCATGACATCCTTGTCTCAAAATTGGAGACATGGATTTGATGGATGGACCACTTTGTGGATAAAGAATTGGCTGGGTGGCTGCACTCAAAGAGTTACAGTCAGTGGCTCCATGTCTGAGTGAAGACCAGTGACAAGTGGCATTCTGCAGGGGTTGGTATTGGGATGGATGCTGTTTAACATCTTTGCCAGTGACATGTACAGCGAGATTGAGTGCACCCTCACCAAGTTTGCCAATGACACCAAGCTGTGTGGTGCGGTTGACACGCTGGAGGGAAGGGAGGCCATCCAGAGGGACCAGGACAGCCTGGAGAGATGGCCCCGTGCAAACCTCAAAGTTTAACAAAGCCAAGTGCAAGGTCCTGCACCTGGGTTGGGGCAGTGCCAAGCACAAATACAAGCTGGGCAAGGAGTGGGTTGAGAGCAGCCCTGAGGAGAAGGGCCTGGGGGAGTTGGTGGATGAAAAACTGAATATGACCCAGCAGTGTGCTCTCACGGCCCAGAAAGCCAATTGCATCCTAGGCTGTATCAAAAGAAGTGTGGCCAGCAGGTCGAGGGAGATGATTCTCCCCCTCTACTCTGCTCTAGTGAGACACCTCCTGTAGTGCTGCGTCCAGCTCCGGTGCCCCCAGAACTAGAAAGACATGGACCTGCTCAAATGGGTCCAGAGGAGAGCCATGAAGATGATCATGGGGCTGGAGCAACCCCGCTGTGAGAACAGGCTGAAAGAGTTGGGGTTGTTCAGCCTAGAGAAGAGAAGGCTCCAGGGAGACCTTATAGCGGCCTTCCAGTGCTTAAAGGGGGCCTGCAGGGAAGGTGGGGATGGACTCTTTATCAAGGAGTGCAGTGATAGGATGAGGTGTAACAGTTTCAAACTGAAAGAGGGTAGATTTAGATTAGCTATTAGGAAAAAATACTTTACTGTGAGGGTGGTGAAGCACTGGAACAAGTTGCCCAGAAAAGCTGTGGCTGCCCCCTCCCTGGCAGTGTTCAAGGCCAGGCTGGATGGGGCTTTGAGCAACCTACTCTACAGGAAGGTGTCCTTGACCATGGCAGGGGGTTGGAACTAGATGATCTTTAAGGTGTCTTCCAATCCAAACCATTCTATGATTCTATGACGAAGATCTGCAGATGAGAACATTATCCTACACTGGGTAAGTATATCTCTAGAAATCAATACTGAACATAGTTTTTGAGTGAAAGAGAATAACCTGCCTGACAACTATGTGATCCTGCCACCACCTCTTGCTGAAAATCAACTAGCTGGGTTCCTGAGATTCCTAGAAGAAATCCAGGTAAAGTAGTTTGCTTCCCCAGTATCTGTGTTGACCTAACATCTATTTTTTGTAGGCTCTTAGCTTGCAATGTTGACAGTCATCAAGTCTTGTACTTACGATTATCAGCAAGATAAAGTAGATAAAATTGTAGAAGGAATGGGCATCCATCACGTAGTACATGATCTCCACCCACCCTTCCAGTGTGATCACCTGCAAAGACAAACAACAAAGAGAAACAGGAGGGAAGTGGGCTTCCAGAGTTCACTCCTCAGTTTATATAGGCAGATAGTGGCAGGGCTGTTGCAACCCAAGGAAGGTGAGAAACGACGATTCATTTCAATGAGGCCAAATTTTCAATCCAGGAAATCAGCATGGTACTGCTTTGTGACACTGGCATACTGTCAAAGCCTGTGAGATCATGCTAGCCCACAGCA